TAGAAAGGTACTCGTGCAATGCAGCGAGATAAATCTTGATTTTAATGTTTCGTCTTATTTTGTCCCTCTGTCGATGTTATAATACGGTTTTATGTGGTTTTGAGAAAAAACGATAATGTTTTTATTTTTGAATAAAATAGAAATTTGAAGATATTTTAAAATAGAAAAAGTTAAGGGGCCAAAATGTACATTGCAAAAAGTTAAGTGTGTGTAAGTAAAATAGAAAAGTTAAGGGGCCAAAATGTATATTGAATTAATTTAAGTGTGTGTAAGTAAAATAGAAAAGTTAAGGGACCAAAATGTATATTGCAAAAAGTTAAGTGTGTGTAAGTAAAATATTAAAGTTAAGGGGTCAAAATATACATTGCAAAAACTTAAGTGTATGTAAATAAAATAAAAAAGTTAAGGGGCCAAAATATATATTGCAAAAAGTTAAGTGTGTAAGTAAAATAGAAAAGTTAAGAGGCCAAAATGTACATTGCAAAACGTTAAGTGTATGTAAGTAAAATAGAAAAGTTAATGGGCCAAAATGTATATTGCAAAAAGTTAAGTGTACGTAAGTAAAATAGAAAAGTTAAGGGGCCAAAATATACAGTGCAAAAACTTATATTTTGGCCCCTTAACTTTTTTATTTTACTTACACACACTTACGTTTTTGCAATGTACATTTTGGCCTTTTAACTTTTCTATTTTACTTACACACACATTTTGACCCCTTAACTTTTCTATTTTACTTGCACATACTTAACTTTTTGCAATGTACATTTTCGCCTCTTAACTTTTCTATTTTACTTACACACACTTAACTTTTTGCAATGTACATTTTGGCCCCTTAACTTTTCTATTTTACTTACACATACTTAACTTTTTGCAATGTACATTTTGGCCCCTTAACTTTTTTATTTTACTTATACACACTTAACTTTTTGCAATGTACATTTTGACTCCTTAACTTTTTTATTTTACTTACACACACTTAACTTTTTGCAATGTACATTTTGGTCCCTTAACTTTTCTATTTTACTTACACACACTTAACTTTTTGCAATATACATTTTGGCCCCTTAACTTTTTCTATTTTAAAATATCTTCAAATTTCTATTTTATTCAAAAATAAAAACATTATCGTTTTTTCTCAAAACCACATAAAATCGTATTATAGCATCGACAGAGGGACAGAATAAGACGAAACATTAAAATCAAGATGTATCTCGTTGCATTGCGCGAGTACCCTTCTAGTTATTCTAATTATATTTTAGATTTTTTATATTTTAAAATAATATGTTTATCTTCTATTTGATTATGTTTATCCGCAGTTAATTATACGAATTCAAACATCAAATTTTAATAAGTAGTACTTATGCATAATTTACTTGTAATATTGAATTTTAAGTAATATGCATAACAAAAATATATCGATATTCGTATCAAATTAACTATTTAAAATTCTTCATTTTTTGTGTAATTTTTTACTTCAATTTTTTTATTATAATTTTATTTACAATAACGAAGTAATTTATATTTCATTTAATAATATAATTTTGTTATAAAGATAATAATTAATTATTTTATGATCAAAAGTTGATATCTTTCTTAAGCTACTCACAAAATCCTTTACCTTAACCATGCTTCGTTGAATAACGATGACTTTGCAACAAAAATATATTTTAATAAACATTACATATAGCAATAGATTTTGTAAAGATGATTGAGATCGATAATCTTTTATAATGATGATTGTCCAAGTTAGGGGTTATTTATCATACACTTACCGGACAAGTGCTTATCGGGTGTCACTTACCTTCGAGGTGAAGATAGCAAGGACCATAATCTTACCAGATAAGAGACATAGCAAGGATCGAGCATCTTACCTATAAGCAAGGGAGAAAACTTTAACCAGTAAGTATTTACCGGATAAAATATGCTTACCAACAATCCAGCTCGATGGCCGAGAATGTTATCTGATAAGGTAAGGGGCCTTTTACCTAAATGCTTACCCGGTAAGCGCTTACCAATAGGAGTCAACATTAGTACATCAAGTAAGCGTTTAGTAAACGGCCCCTAAGTGTCTTCCAGGTAAGCGTTTATACGATAAGCGTTTGATAAATAGCCCCCTAAGAAAACCCCGAAGGCTTACCAATTGATCTACATTCATATATGGTATCTTTTAGACGATTTGCAGCTGGTTATGGACCCAAATCGATCTCCATCTGTAATGGGTCTTTAACGCATTTCTTATCGTCATCTACGGACATCGAATGCAGAGCGTGTCACTAAAAATAATGTTACAAACACTCATGATATATTTGGCATTTCAACTAACAACCCGAAATGACGTTCATCTTTGCTAAAAACCATTCAAAAGACGAAAATTTACATGACATAATTTATCTGAAAAAGCATAGTTGAGCCTTCTTCAATCTTCCCCCTAAACATATTGTTTCTGAGAACTACAAGCAAAAAGGTGATTCAATGATCAAAGTTCATATTTCATTGGCCTTTTGAATTTTCTCATGTTTGAACTCATCAAGTCTTGTGTAGAGCGTCTCCAACATTCGCAAGCAAACCTCGGGGGATGTACACGGCCCACACATCATGTAAATGACATTTCCCAAAGGCCGCATGAAGATACCATCTTCTCGGAGCTTCAGAAGCAGAGACGTAGCACAAAGAGATGCATAACTACATGAACGAGGATTATGCATTCGAGATTAGCATAAAGACGCACAAAAAAAGTGGACGTAGACGATAAGCGTGCATGGCCAAATGAAAAATACATGTATGGTATAATGATAATGCCCCAAACAGAAGTAATATATTCTAAGCCAAAAAGAAATAAAAATACATATATGGTAAACAATAACGCCCCAAAAAGAAATAAAAAGTAATATAATCTAGGCCAAAATGCCAAGGGGCCGTTTACCAAACGTTTACTCGGGTAAGTGTACACCAAGTCTCGTTACCTTACCGGATGAATATGGTAAGGATCAAGAATCTTACCCGGTAAGAACGAGAAGAAGACCAAGAGTCTTACCCGGTAAGTGAGGGCGACGACTCTTACCACGGTAAGCGCTTACCAAGTGAATTGTTGCAAACGATACCGTTTTGGTGGACTAAAATTTTACCCGGTAAGTAACTAATAGTGTTAAATTTTACGGGTAAGCACTTACCGAGTAAGTGTCTGGTAAACAGCCCCTAAGTGTGCCTTGGTTCCTATTTAGTGCAACACTATTTTTTCCCAATATAGTGTAACAAAGTGTTGAATTTTTCCTATTTTCGTACCAATTTTCAGCGGTAGCATAGATTTTGTACCTTTTGGGGTAATAGACTAGTCAGTGTACATCTTACTCCTCCTAGACCCTAGACCCTTTCTTTGAGTAATGATATACTGGGCCCATCTTATTAGGTTCGCTTTGGTTTGATTTAATTAATAGATAATTCCCATTTCATGATTAGAGATAATTATGCCACATATATCTCTCTCCTAGAATAGTGTAAATCCTTCCTATAACACCCTTAAAATGGAAGACAAAGAGATGTGTGACCAGGCGTGTGACTTGGGTGACGGCCCTAGTCACACAAGGCTCTGGTATCCCTAGCACGGAGAGACGCTCGACTCTCCACACAACGTGGGTCGTGGGAGAGATCGCGTAAGTCGTTTGGCAAACCCCTATTGGTGACTAGCCAAGAGACCAAGGTCACAACTAGGTTACCTGAATGTTTCTGAGGCAATTCAAAGCCCTTTTGAGCTAGAGTTTTGCATATATCCAATCTTTTCACCTTACTCTTGGTTTAGGGTGCTCCTTGGTGCAACTTTAAGAGCTTGTGAAAGGAAGAGAAGGATTGGCATTGGCATTTTGGGTTGGAGTCTTCAAATCTCCATCCAAAGAAGCTAGAGTTTGATCTGGATCGATTTTGGGTGGTTCTTGGGCAAAGTTGGAGCCTTTGGAAGCAATTTCAAGTCTTCATCAAAGGAGGCTAGGGTTTTTGCTTGGATTCTAGATATTTGTATAAATCTAGTAAGGTAAGTTCTACTTGCTTTGAGAAAACTATATACATGTCAAAAAAGTCTTTATTTGAATATCAAATACAATTATATTGATTTCTTACTAATACATGTTGGTTATGTTTTTTATATGTACATTGGGTATATTTGATGTTTTAAATCCATGGGAAATGCTTTTAAAATGGTCTATTGAATGCTTTTAAGCATAAATCTTGTGAGCTTTGTCATATGGGGATTTATTGCAAGAAATGAGTTTTCATTAGACTTTATATGTTTTGGGATGCGGATTTTGCATAAATCCTTTGGAAAAATGCATTTATTGGTTTACTGCGGCTTTTATTGAGTTAGCCGAATAAGTTGTGGGTTTTGGTTTACTTGAAATTGGTTCGAATGAGATTTTTAGGATTTTACCCAACTTAAATTGTTCAATAGCGATATTTGAATGTGTTTGCATATATAGCATATTTATTGGAATGGCGAAGGATCGTGTGAGCATGAGACTTAAAGTGAGAAGCGTGATAAGGGATCTGGACTCTTGATCACTTTTAATATCAAACCCACCCATGAATCGCGCTTGATACGGGGATTGATCCGGTGCATCTCGGTGCATCTCATCCTAATGTGCATCCAAGGGTGGAGATCCCTTTTTACGCTTCTCACCTTAGCTCTCCTTCTGACGGAACCCAACCCTTGTAGGAATTACATGTTTTGAGTTTGTTAATCATTCAATTATGAGTCATGTAATTACTAATTTTTGGAGTCTCAATGTAATGGATCCATAAGCATAGAAGTCAACCATGTTCAGAAGTCAAGAGCTTTGATGTTCCTACTTTGTGGCTAGTGCTCGAATAGGCACTATGGTCGTCTTAGTATTACGAAGGTGAACACGTATGAGTGACTTCGGGACCATGGGTATTACGGAGGTGAACTCGTATGAGTCGGACTCCTAGCCCTTGAATGAGCATAAAAAATTTCACATTATGAACCAAATACATATGAAGGGAACACATTGTGAAACAAATATATGTTAATCAATACATTAAATACTAACCTTAGATGGAAAAATATCATGTGAAACAATACCTTAAGGTACAAGTTCTCGCGGTTATCACAATATATATAATTTGATTACGCCCCGGTATATACATCGATGGAGTGCAAGAGAGTAGGTCACAATATAGCCTTTATTAATACCTTGGATTATATGCAACTCTAGAATGAGCATTTTCAGTTTTCCAACTCCATAAATTTCTATGTTCTAACACGTCCTCCATCCCATGTTGCCTACAACACTTTATATCCTATCATAACCCAATAAAAACCTCTATATGTTTGACCTTATTAGTACCATATTGCAAGAGGGGTCTATGTTAACCAAGATTTCTCTGATTAATGGATGGTCATTTGTTAGCAATAGAGATTTGTTTCTCATTTTGGATTAGGGTGAGTGGATGCAAGCCAATGGAGTGATAAATCAAACCAAACGAATTTATATTTGTCCACAAGATTCCTTATGTCTTCTTATTGAATGGTACTCTGAATATTTGACAAAATCTAAAATTTCCTGAAAATAACACCAGTTAAACATTGCAACTTCTTTAAGACGAGTACTTTTATATCTAACCATCTTTTCCTTAAGCAAAGCACAATTCTGTAATCACTTTTAAAGTCACAATACTTATTTGAAGCTTACAAGTCAAAGAACAAGTGTGAATTCTTCTTGTCCGCAACAGATAAGAAAGTAATATGAACATCAAATCTCCTTTGTCCATGAAATTTGTGGCAAGAAAATCCATTTGGCATGCCCATGTAAATCACAATATTTCTATTTTCTTGAAAATTTTCGAGTTAAATTGCTTAGCAAACTAATGGTCTTGATAACTGGTGTTGGTCAACAAGCTCTCCTATTTTGTCATTCTTGCAAAAGTTTTTCGATATTTGACTCATATTCAAACACCTTTGTTTTGTTAAATAACATATTCAAAATACCCTTTTCAACAAAACGAAAGAAAATCCCTAATGAACACAAAGAAAGACAAAGGTAAAAGTTGGGATGTACATACCCCGCATCATAGTCGTCCACTGTGAGCTCTACGGCAAAGAGAGTTCCCAATGAAATTGTTCTTTGAACTGCTGGGTGAAATGAGATCTTCTGAACTAGTTGTGTATCCCATAACTGCAAGAGTATCAAAAGCATGAACAAACCTTGCACAAACAGCAAATGACAACATCTTACAATAATAATCTTCATTCAAATAAGCCTTATTGTATGTCCTTGACAACTTTTGTATAAACCAAACCGAACCAAACGAACCCGGTACATCCCACTAGGAAGTAAGGTATGGGGGTGAGATGTACACTGGTCCTCTATTCCAAAGAGTAGAGCAGTTGTTTCCCTGAAGACCCCCGACTTGCAAATCCAAATCACTTTTTGTATAACTTCAAATAAGATGCATAAAAAATCTCACTTTGCCATGGTGGACGGAACTAAAGCGGCCCAGGTTGAAATGATCAAACTGGAACATAATTTTGTTAAAAGAAATGAAGTTACAAGACGTAAAACAATGTTTTTCTTGAACCAAAAGCAATGACATCACTTTGTTATATAATGGACAAAGGAAAAATAGTCTCAAAATCTACCAAAAAATGGAGACATTGCAATTAGGGGAGCACAAAACCAAGAAAGAAAAAAAGCATGTTTCTAAGTACCTCTCTCAAAAGATTTTGTTCAGGAATCAAATTAGGGTTGGTTTCGGAGTCCTTGAACCATTTAATGGAATTACAAGCAGCTGCACATCCCAAAGCATGGGCTGAATACGAGTGTCCGTGCAAAAGAGCCTTTAGCTGCCACAAGAAAAAACAAGTTAAGCAAGCTTTTAAACAGTACCAAACACAAATATGTGACAAACCATAAGATGATTTGTAATTCATTCTTTTCTTAGTTATTTTTGTAGATATGGAGAGAAGTAGTCCCAGGAAAAAAGCTTTTACACTTGATACCGGAAAGATCAAGAAAGCACAAGGGAACCTAATATTCTTCTAGACCATGTATATTGTTGGAGCCCCAAGTCAGCTAGAAATGGACCATTAAAACCTAGGAACCTCCCCTCACTCCAAGGGTTCTCCTAGAGAGAGAATCAAAGTGGTTCCATATATCCTAACATGGTATCGGAGCCGGAGTCTAACACCACCTAGGGACTCGACACTCTTTCAACTCCGTTCTTGGAGGCACCATCTAGCTTCCCTTTGAGGAGTCGTGTTGGAGCCCCATGTTGGCACTGACCATCAAAACCTGTATGTATGCAGGAACCTCCCCGCTCTTTTAGAATCAAAGTGGTTCCATATATCCATGTTTTACTCTCTGCATTTCACAACACGATACGACTTTTCCAGAAGTTGATATCAAGTTTAACCATACTTTCAAGTGGTAAAATTGGAAGCATTCTGTTATTTTAAATGGGCCTTTCTTTGTGTAGAAAAAATTATATCACAATGCATATTAGAAGGGAATCTTCGATTCATCACATCAATGGAAAGAAATGTCTCCTTTGAGATTAAGATCACTGTTTACCTTTGAATCTCCAACAAATGATTGAAAAACAGCATTGGTCGCCAATGTAGCAGCCAATGGTATCATGCCACCAGTCATTAACTTAGCAAAACAGGCTATATCTGGTTGACACAAAAGCAACTCTGCTGCAGACTGAAACAAACAGTCACTTGTTAATCAACTTTAACACAAATAAAGAAATCAGAGAAGACGGTTTTTAGAAGCAACAAGGAGTCTGGCCCACTAAATCGACAAACCTCCACTCCCAAGCGCCAGAAACCAGTAAGAACTTCATCAAAGATAACCGGAATTTTTCGATTTCGACATTCTTTAACAAGTGTGCGTTGAAACAGGGGGTCGACCATCAGCATGCCACCAGCCCCTTGTATCACTATGAAAATACAGGAAGTGCAAAAACATTATGTACTTTTTGGAATATACTTGGTATTAAATTGGGTATTCATTAAAGAACCCATACATCATCAAGAAGTGGAGTCAAATGTTTTCTTTCAGATACTAATCAAATTTCCCCGCATAAATAGTTCAAAACACATTTACCTGGTTCAATAATTAATGCTGCAGCATGAGAAAACTTTCTTGATCCTGAACTTAGCAGCAATTCTTGTGATATATACGACGAATAAATGGAAACAAGACTTGAATCGTCTCTGCTTTTATTAAAAACTTCATCACGGGAACTAAAGGCTGTTGAAGAGGTAAGGATTTGTTACAAAATAAACAACTTTGAAAATTATATAACATGTTATAACAGATTAATGAGTGCTCCACTTACACCTCTCTTCCAAAATCACATCTTCAGCATTCATCTTTCCAGGAATGGTTATTTTCCAGACTCCGTCACACATTGAAACTATCGGGGGTTCCAGAAAAATGCCTCTTCCAGTGTACCTGCAAGTTTGATTTAAACATATATTTTCTTATAAAGATTAGGAAAAACATTTTTTAAGCCCTTGTACTATCAACTAAAATAAGTTTTGATGACAATACAATAACAATTATTCATTTGACCACTCGACTTCATGTTCCAACTACTTTTTTCCCATTGGTCCTACCTTCCAGACAAAAATAGTAGAAAGTGTCTTGACCAGTTTGCCATTATCATAAAAATTGATTTTTTTCGCAAGCCGGGATCTTCACAGAAACAACCTCTCTACCCCTTGGGGCAGAGGAATGGCTCACGCACATTTACTCTCCACCCTATTCCATGTGGAATTTACCGGGTTCATTTGGTTTGATTTGTTATACTAATGCTCGTCAAAGGAAGACGTGTTGGGAAATTCAGTCTTGGGCTTGAACATAAATGCAATGCCAGGTTAAATAAAATTAATAACAGAACGGCTAAATATACTTTTACGGCTAAAATAGTAAAATTTCATAAGATTAAACAATGAAATCGACGGATGAAGGTGGTTTGCACGGTTTACACAAATGAGGGCGGTTTTTATTTGATCACTCCTCTATATATATATATATATATATATATATATATATATATATATATATATATATTCCAAGATAATTATAATACATAGTCCCTTTTTAGTAAAGAACCTGCCTACAAGTAAGCAGAACGTCAAGATTACTTTACATGTATCAATGCAACTACTTTCCAGATTCAAAAATAGAAATGGATTTCACTACAAGTTATCCCCGATCTTAAGGGTTGTGGTATTTGTTTTAAATTTAATGCAATAATACATTTCCCGAAAATCTAAAGATTTCATATTAATGTAGAATATGCTCATATTAATGTAGAATATGCTCGGAGAAAACTGTTCAATGCATCATTAGGAAAGCAGGCTTGATTGGAGCTCCACAAAGGGTGATGGCTAGGGTTTTTAATAAGACCAGGCTCTATGGGAGCTGCACAAGTGTGACAACTAGGATTGCCAAGTTGCCTGAGGATGAGTGTGGCGGCTAGGTTTTTTCAATTCTCTTGAGATGAGAAGAGCACAATGCTCAGAGTTTATTTCTCTAGGTACATTGACTAGGTTGACATATCAAAGCCATACCATGAAATGTAAAAAGGACCTAAAAGCTCAATTATATTACCGACATATACAGTATACTCAGAAATCTGACAGTAGAGCTCGAGGTCGTCACCCATGGGACATCAAATTCACCACCAGGAAACTAACCGCTTCAGAGAAATCCTGGTCGAATAACTTGGATACAACCCTCTCAAGAAACACGATCGGCCACCGATAAATATTTCGCAAGAAGGGAGAGCCAATTAGCCAAGATATAATACCCAAAAAAGAGTTCATTAATTCAACTAGAACTAACAGACTCCATACAGCAGATAATTGACAAGACCTCAACGCAATTCCAGCTTGCATGAACAAGATGACAAACTAAAAACTCGAAAACAAAGAAAACCCATAAAGAAAGAAGAAAGTAAACCTACCATGGTTGCTGATGAAAACCAGTATAGGATGATGGGGCCTGTGCATCCATAGCACCCAATGTATCCCCATGATAAGATCCTACAAGTGCTACCACCTGAAGGGGAGTGAAAGTGATATGAACAGCCACTCAAATGTAGTTGGTAAACAAGGACATGCACTGAAAATGCGCTCTGGTAATAGTGATCTCCTATGATCCATTTTTGGTATAAAAGGTTAGAAAACGAATGGAGTTGTTACCTGTTATGTCTATTCTATGCAAATGGAACATTCATGAATAGAACACAAACATCTTGATGTACAACAATACAGAGGTGGGTGGACAGTGTGGAGTATTTGTATATATTCTGTAAGTTCAAAGATATACCGAAGCTTATATCAACACACAATGGTTGAAAGATATATATATATAGAGAGAGAGAGAGAGAAAGATTATTGTTTATTTCTTGAATGAATCTTACAAGAATGAAAGCTCTATTTATCTGATAGAGCTTGAGGCTACTTACAATCTTGACAGAAAACTGAAAGGGAATTCATTGTAACCGTAATTCTGTTATAACTCTAACTCCATTATCGTCTTTGTCGTTAATGTTGTGTAGCCTTAGGTGAGAAACCACATGTTGGAAGCAAAGAAAATTGCTAGAAACAAAATCTTGAGAGGTACATGAATGCTGAAATTGCTTAATCCCAACCCTAATAGCAATCTGTGGAACATTCAATATGGCTAGACAAATACGAAATAAAGAAAAATAGACACTGATTTAGAAAGACAAAAATAAATAGAAATGTCAATGCCATTTCATTATACCCTTTTTGATACTTTCTTTGATTACATATACTTATACTCTCCTCCATGATATCTCTTCCATTAAAATTGCCATTAATTTGAAAACCACAACGCTGACATGGCACTGTGACTCATTCTTTGGTGAAAATTCAGATACTTTAATTGAAGGCACACCCAACATATACATGTGTCCTTTTTTGATAAATTTTACCCCTTATCGACTGAATTCATGAAATTCCACAATAACCAAGAAAGATTTATCAATTGTCTGTTGATCGGATGTCTATTGATGGACAACATAAAAGAATCTTAACAATCATTACTGATGAGATTTGTACAGTTCTATTATCAACAATTCAACATACTTGTTACATAGCATAACATTTTGATATAAAGCTTCATAAAAGATGCTTGTACATGGATTATAAGATCATGAGATGTTCATTTGTTAAGACAAGTTATCACTTATCAAACGCTGAATCTAGAAAGAAGGTTTTCTGGGTTTATGTTTAATCATGTGTAATGCCTGATTTGTACACATGATCTGATAGCAAATATATGATCGATTCAAACCATGATGGAAAAATTGGACAGCCATAAAAAAGTACAGAGATTTACCTTAAGCTCGATACTGCTGTCAATGGTGTTATCCTGAGGAAGGTCCAAAAGCAATTTATTATCGACCAAGAATTTCCTAAATGCCATCTTGAGAGCAATTTCAACTGCCGTAGATCCATTGTCAGAAAAATATGCTCGAGAAGCCCATCCTGCAGTAATAAAATGTTGATAGTATTGTGACCATGATGAGAGTGGAAATTGGTGTCAGCAATCATCTTTGCAAAAAACAGCAAGATAAAGAGAGTTCAAATGGACAGTGAAGAAAAGATTGACCTCACAAACAGAGCACAAATAAAAAATATCAAAACAAATTAAATGATTCCTACCGAAATTATACAAGAAACCTACTATCCAACACTAGTTGGTGTACAATAAAAGCCAAACCCACAAAAAAACATTAGAAGAAAAACGGAGGCAAAACTTAAAACAGTAAAACAAACCTTTTCCTACACCTTCAAGCAAAAGTTCAGCACATTCGAGGGCTGGCTCATAAACATTCTCAGGGAACATTACATGCCCAAACCTTGCAGCAGTGTAACCCATATCCCGTGCCAACTTAGTCTGAACCCACCTAAACAAATAAGCACCATTTAGGAGATCTTACAAAGTTGCTCATCAACCAAAGAAATATAATTAGATAGAAGTGATGAGAAACAAACTACTGCTAAACTAAGAAATTCTCTTTACTTTAGAATAATAAAAAGTGATCCACACAAGATTTTGAGATGGTAGGCAATAGTTTTATATTACTTTGATATCCTGAATGAGCGAAGAGAACACATCTTTTATATAAATCAGAAGGAAAAGCCAGAAGCCCAGAGCCAATGATCCAATAAGATAAAGTGGAAAAGGGAGCTGACATTTTTATAAATAGAAACTATTAAATTGGAGAGTAACCAAAATAACACATTTGAGCCCTACAGAGCATTATGTCATTGAACAATCTCAATTCTCTTGCGTTCATAGTGACAGTTAAGAGGATAGTTATTTTAAACAGATACCTGCTCTATGATACAAGTGAACAAGTTAAAATTAATGAATGTTTGGATATGTATAAATGTTATTCTTCCACTTCTTCCACCTGAAGAAGTTAATAGTTTTCAAATAAGGAAACTAAAGTTGGCTGTTTTAGGTCCTTTATATATGTATTACATTCTAACATCGGAAGCTTAGAAATCCATGAGAACCATCTGTCCTTAATTCATGAAGAAATGATCAATGATACAACAAATCATAGAATGACCTGTAAAGCAGCATCAGGGCCCTGTGTCCACCAGCTTGCACAAGCGTCAAACATTTGAGTAATACAGCCATGATCCTTCACCTGTACAGGAATCAGAGTGTAAATCAGATAGACTTTAATGATTTAAAAGGTGGAATCGTATGGGTATATTTGGGTATATAACCTTAAATGATATTTTAATTAAATCCAGGACCTTCTGATGTGTATGAAACCATTTTTTCTTAAATAGGCCAAGAGGTTATGAATTTAATGGAAATCTCATTTAAAGTTACATACCTAAATGACCCGAATCTCTTATGATTAGCAAACCCTTTACACAAAAATAAAATTTTAACAACTTATGGCAACGACACAGGGAAAAGCAAATAGTACTATTTATTTTATGTTCAAAATATATAAGGAAAAACATCATATATAAGGAGATGACCTTGTGAACTGCAAAATATTCTGCACAACGAGAATCAATGACTGTGACCTTTTCTTCTGGTACAAGCTTGTGCTGAGTAAAGGGCCACCAAAAGATCTCTTGAGCCTTCTTTGGCATTTCATGTAGTCTATCGATTCTTTTTTGGAATGATGATAGCATTATCCCCTTCAGTGAATCAAAAACACTCTGTGATTCATCAAACCACTCCATCAGGTTGTCTAAGGGATCTTTTGGGATAGACGGAAGAACAAGAACTGGGACCCTTACAAATCCAGAGAGAAACAAATTTAAGTTTTCTTAACAATTGTAAGCAAAATAACACAGCTATACACACAAAGATCCGAAAAGGATAAACAGCACAAAATGCAATATAACAAGATCATCCATACTTTAACAATAGAGAGTTTTACAGTTTTTCACCTGTTTCTCAGATAAGACGACAATGGGACTTCGTTTTCGAGGCCATGATCTTCCAGCACAATAGCAACAACATCATAACCTCGTATTATCAAACTTTCGTATGCTGAAATCGTTCCTGAAATACCCCCTAATCTTCCATCACCCACAAGAATGGAAGGTAACCGAAATGGCCTACATACATGTTATAAGAAATCTGAGTTGATTACAGTCAAACATATACCAAACTTAGAAATATAGGTATTAAGAAACTAGATCACTCACCTATACAAATCACATTGAAGCGAACCAGATGATCCTGGACTAGCAACACCACCTGCAGTCTCGACCAAACACAGAACACTACTCCCACCATTACCCTTAATTCCCACCCCAATCTCCAAACACCTCTTCAACAATACCAACAAATCAGAATCCTCCACAATTGCACCTTCTCTCTCAGAAGCCAAATGAGGCGATATCGCCTCTTTCCACGCATACATTGTCTTGCATATCAACTCGGATCCCACCTCCTCACCAGCCCCGACCTTCTTTTCTTCATAAAAACCAAAATCTTCAAACCCATTCTTACTGGACCACCCTTCTCCAGTTTCTTCCAATTCTCCAACACTAAAACTGTTACCAATTTTCAATTTTGCAGCCGGGATCGAAACGTTAAGGGTGTGATCGGAAGCGAGGAGAGTTGCTTGGGGATTACGTTGGAGGAAAAGTTGAGAAATTTTATCGTAAACAAAGCCGGAATCGGAGTCGAGAGGGAAGCCGGTTTGGAGGGGTTTGATGTAGACCAATTTTGAAAGGGACGGTGAGGAAGAGAGGATGGAGGAGGCAGCGAGACCGGCGGAAACGAGGGTTTTGCCAAGACCTGTGTTGGCAGCCCATATGGTGTAGATAGGGTGTGATAGTGTGTGTGAGAGAGTTGAGAGGAAACGGTGAAGAAGAGGAGACGCTGGCAGAAGGTGGTGGTGGCGGTAGTGGTGGTGGCGGCGGCGGAGGAAGTGGCGGGAGGGAGTGTAGAGTAGAGAAGGGTGAGGGAACATTGTAGTTGTGATAGGGATTAACGGCTACGAACTTCAAAATGTACATTTGTTAGTAATTAAGTAATCGACCATGAAAGGTTACAAAAACAGATATACGACGACACGTGTTAGAATGTTATTTTTCCTGCATTATAAATTTTTGAGTAAATTACAGATTTAGTCCCTTAATTATTTAAGATTTATGGATTGAGTCCCTCAAACAAAATAATTACATCTATAGTCATCAGGGTTTCACTTTTATTATGGATTGAGTCCCTTACCCTAACTCCACTAACCAATACTCCCTTAAATTAAGGGTAATATGGACATATAATATATATGTGTGTGTGTGCATGCATGTATATATGCCTACAGCATCGTCCTCCCAAAAAAGTCAGTCATTCTTGATTGGTCTTGAGCTAACTATAGTGTAAAGTCGTATTTCTTTGGTTTTTCTCCACCGCCCTTCATCCTTTCCATCTTCGGTCACTCACCACCGCCTCCTTGCCTTTTCTCCACCAACAACCCCACCACCTTTAAGAACCCACAAACCATCTTTGGCGGACCTCTTGCCGCCACCACTAGACAAGGATGAGATCTGTAATTTACTCCATTGTGACTCCCTCACCTTTATGAGCTAATGGAGTCCATTGATAGGCTCGATTTATGATTAACTTATAAGTTTGTTAGACTAGCTAGATAAAGTTGTTAACCCTTCTAGGTATGAGAATGAGCTTAACGTTGGTCTCTAAAGATGGTTCATGATGATGCTAATGATTTGTGAAAGCAAATTGTGGTGTGGAAATTCGATTTATATCAACTTGTGGATACGTTCCACTAAAGAGTAGCCAAATTATTTGCTTGAAAACTAATATGTTTTAGATCAAATCCAACCCGTTTGTCTCCTTATTCTTTTTCAAACAAACCTTCCCCTCTGATCATCTTTTCCAGATAAGATGGACACAAACAAACTGATTCCTATAATGGTTGTTCTGACAATCGCATAAACCAAACAAGGTAAATGCAAAAGCCAAATTAAATTATAAAAAGACAACCTAGAATATAAACAAATTACAATATTATCGAAGAGTTCATCGACCTAGGTTGTTTTTAAAGAACATATCATACAATTAAGTTTCTAAACATAAACAATTTACACTAACTAGTTGACTTTAGTTCTAGAATCTGAGTTTCATTTTCTCGATCTTGACGAACTCTATCCACCAACCAATCTGGATATTGAATTGGACCTGGTTCATAATTCGGTAGACAAACCTTGATTTGGACCGATCTGGATGCACTAAACAAACCTCGATCTAGACCTAGATCATGTATCATGATATGAGGGAGGTGTTGTTTTCGTCAGAGATGGAGGCGATGAGGGAGATCGTCGTTCTGTAAGGGAAAGGAGAGATATCGTCGTTGTTTGGTTGGAAAAACATATTAGGGTGGGGGATGGGGAATTCATCGACGCTTTGTAAGGTGGGGGAATGGTCTACAGGGGAAGGGTTTCAGGGATAAGGTGGGATGGTTTCAAGGTGGTGGGCGAAGATGGCCTTTCATCGGAGGAGACGATGGCTTTCATCAGGATTTGGTCGACTGTAGGTAGTCTTAAACTATGTTGACTCGATGATACATGTGTGTATGTTTATATATATATATATAGAGAGAGAGAGAGAGAGAGAGAGAGAGAGAGAAAGTCAGGTTCATACATGAATGATATGTATTTAAGAAAATAAGAGAATGAATATAGATCCATATACTTTATTAAGTAATACCTTAAATAATTAATTTTAAAAATAACTAAATAAGAGCATAAAAGTATTTTAGTTATATAAAAGCTATTTAAGGCATTTATTTAATATTCTATTTTTATCATATTTATGATTTTAATATGATTTAGTTTTTTATTTAAAAAATATTTTATACATTATACATTTAAAATAAGCGCATTTAATTTTCATTTAAAGAATTCATTTTTATTAAAGCAATATTTAAAAAAATACAAATTTCGTCTAATCATATTTGATTCACAATTAATTATTTTTTCAAAATGTTTTCCTAATTGTATGTGATATAAACTTAAAAAACAATGATTCAAGTTAAACATTGAAAAAAAAATAATGAAAACAGAATCACATGTAATGTATAGCAAAACACATTTAAAATATATAAAATCGCATATGTTTCAAAATGTAATTCGTAATTCACACATATCACATGTAATGTTATTGATAACTTACATTTTTTTTCCCCACTATAATCAATATTACATATGATCCATTGACCAAAATTAGCGATTTTTGTTTCTGAAAAAAAATCGATTAATCGTGGATATCACATATGAATTTTGACGAAAATTGTAAAAAGTTATTAAATAATCTACTTCAATAAAAAATAAAAATACTTTAAATGAAAAACTAAATCACACTTATTTTAAATGTTGTAAAAAATAAAAAATAAATAAATGAAAATTTAATCATGCTTAAATCCACTACTAGAAAACCAAGTATCAGCGACGAACATCAGCGAGGGAAAAAATCTCTCGCAGATCAACGAAGGATCAGCGAGGGAAAAAATCTCTCGCAGATCAACGAAGGATCAGCGAGGGAAAAGCCAAAAACTCAATCCCTCGTTGATCCCTCGCTGATCTGCGAGGGAATGAGTTCTTTGGCATTTCCCTCGCTGATCCTCGCTGATCTGCGAGGGAATGAGTTCTTTGGCATTTCCCTCGCTGATCCTCGCTGATCTGCGAGGGAATGAGTTCTTTGGCATTTCCCTCGTTGATCCATGCTGATCTGCGAGGGAAACGTTTTTTGCCAATTCTCTCGCTGACCTCTCGCAGATCAGCGAGGGAATCTGATTTTCGCCATTTTTTTATTTTATAGCTACAAATTTAATTACTTATTAATTTTTAATTATTGATTATTAAATTTTCAATTATTTATTATTTATTAAAATATTACAAAAATTAATTAATAAAACCGAATAAAGCCCATTAAGGTCCATTAAACCGAACAAGATCAAATAAAACTGAATAAAGTTCATTAAAGCCCGATAAACTCAATATAGCCCGGTAAATGGATTAAGGCCCAATAAAACTGAACAAAGCCCAGTTAAATGGGTTAATGCCCAATAAAATCGAATATGTATACATACGATAACTACATATAAAAATGTGTATATATAACACATAAAAAACAAGAAAAATAAGAAAATAGGACAATTCCTTCGCTGATCCCTCGCTGATTAGCGAGGGAATCTGATTTTCGCCATTTTTTTATTTTATAACTACAAATTTAATTACTTATTAATTTTTAATCATTGATTATTAAATTTCCAATTATTGATTATTTATTATAATATTACAAAAATTAATTAATAAAACCAAATAAAGTCCATTAAGGCCCATTAAACCGAATAAAGTCAAATAAAACTGAATAAAGTTCATTAAGGCCCGATAAACTCAATATAGCCCGATAAATGGATAAAGGTCCAATAAAACCGAACAAAACACAGTTAAATGGGTTAAGGCCCAATAAAATCGAACATGTATACATACGATACCTACATATAAAAATGTGTATATATAACACATAAAAAAACAAGAAAAATAAGAAAATAGGACAATTCCCTCGCTGATCCTTCGCTAATCAGCGAGGGATCAATGAGAGAATTAACAAAAATCAGATTCCCTCGTTGATCCCTCATTGATCCCTCGTTGATCAGCGATGAAATCTAATTTTCGCCATTTTTTTATCTTATAACTACAAATTTAATTACTTATTAATTTTTAATTATTGATTATTAAATTTCCAATTATTGATTATTTATTAGAATATTACAAAAATTAATTAATAAAACCGAATAATGCTCATTAAGACCCAATAAAACCGAATAAAGCTCATTAAACCGAATAAAGTTCATTAAGGCCCGATAAACTCAATGAAGCCGTCAAAGACCTTCCAGCTTAGTGGTAAAGGTTTGGGCAAATAGATTAAGGCTCAATAAAACCGAACAAAGCCCAGTTAAATGGGTTAAGGCCCAATAAAATCGAATAAGTCCGCATATAACACACACACACACACACACACTATTTACACATTCACATATACACATACGTTTAAACATATATACATCGATCCAATCGTGGTTAACAACCAGTACACATCGTGTATATAACATTGACCGACGGGTATATATACATATAACACATACAACGTCGTGTAAACATATGTATATAACACGGGCTGACGGGTTACGGGTATATATACTTATAACACATGCACATGTATACATACGCTACCTAAATATAAAAATGTGTACATGTAACACATAAAAATCAAGAAAATAGGACAATTCTCTCGCTGATCTGCGAGGGATCAACGAGGGATTTACCTATTTTATCATTTTTATGTGTTGTATGTACATATTATTTTGTGTTGGTGTCGTATGTATACATGTATATGTTAACCGCGATGTGTATTATATGTACACATGTGTGTGTGTGTATATATATATATATATATATATATGTTTACATATATGTATATATACTCGTTAGTCCGTGTTGTATACATATGTATACACGATGTGTATAGATGTGTGGTGGTTGCTAACCACGATTGGATCGATGTATATATACTCGTCGATTCGGTTTTATTAGGCTTTATTTAGTTTTACGAGGCCTTAAGGGACTTTATTCGGTTTGTAGGGCCGTAATCCAATTTTCTTGGACTTTATTTGGTTTTATTGGGTCTTCATCCAATTTCTTGGACTTTATTCGCTTTTATTGGGCCTAATGGGCTTTATTCGGTTTTATTGGGCCTTAATCTATTTTAATAGGTTTTGTTCGGTTTTATTGGGCCTTAATCCATATACTGGGCTTTATTGAGTTTATCGAGCCTTAATGGGCTTTATTAGGTTTTCTTGGATCTTAATGGCTTTATTTGGTTTTATTGGGTCTTAAGGGACTTTATTCGGTTTTATTGGGCCTTAATGGACTTTATTAGGTTTTATTG